TTATTAATTTAGTATTTACTATAAATATTATATTAATACCCTTAAAATAGTATAATCAAACAAAAAGACCATTGTTTTCCATAAGGAGTGACTAGCTTAGTGATAAAGTGATTCATGCCTATTTTTATTTAGAACCATATCTTAATCAATATTTGTCTTTTCGAAGTCTAATTATTTATAAATCTATAGCTTATTATTTGCATATAATTAAAAAAGAATATTATACTTTCTTCCCGATCTTCTAACTTTGATATAAAGAAACCTCCACTTTACCATTATTTCACCTCTCCATTTTTATAAAAAGTAATTCCACCTATATCCAAGTGGTTATAATATACCTCTCTTTTTCAATAATATTGATTATCTACTTACAGCAACCTATAATCACTTCGGCCTTCAATAGTTCGATCATCTTGACCTTTATCGGCCCATAATCTCTGTCTTTTTATAAAGGCCCCGAACGATCCCTGAACTCCTTAATATAAAGTAAGCTGGACAACCTAAACTTACTAATAAAAACAATAAGTAATGCTTGTAATACTACCCACTCTCCACCAGCATCACAGCCATAAAAGAACGGAATGCTTAACTAAGCCAACAATTGTATATATAGAACTATTAGCTTAATCCATCCCTAATACCCTCTGGGAGGTTGTGGCAAGCCCTTATGGCTTGCCCCCGGATGTAAATTAATAAATAAATAAATTAAATAAAAAATAGTATAATCAACTTATAACTCATATCTTCTATATACAATTAAAAACGATATAGTATTTGACATTATAAGACTACAAATAAATAATATATTTATTATTATTAATAATAAATTTATAAATTATAAATAAAAAGAACTCTATAATACTAAGTTTATAATGAAAAAGTATAAAACATTTATATTAAATATATTATTTAAATTCAATAATAAATTAATTATTAAACGAAACGATAATATAATTTATTTTAATTAGAAAAATTAATATGAAAACCTATACCTAATTAAATCAAAATCATTTGATATATAAAAAATATATAAAAAATCTGTAACAATAAAGAATCAATACATTATATAACATACTTAAGAAATATATATTATAATAATATATTAACCAAAAACAACTTTTAATTTATCTTATATTATACAAACTGTTAATTCTAAGGGAGAAAATGTCGATTTTCTTAATAAGTGTATTCAATGACAAATTAACAATTTAAAGAAAAACCTATAATTTATTCCATTTGATATGGATTCTCTAAAACTAATTATATTTTATTAATGTATTCTTTACTAATAATAAAAATTTATCCTTCTAGATTAAATATATTATTTTTTTAATAAATAAATATAATAAAGCCAATATTATCCATTAATTATTTATTAAATATAAAAAAATCATTAAAAATATATTAATATTAAAACTCTATACTATAATTTTAGACTTTAATATTAGTACAATAATTAAAAATATGATTAACAAGATTTTTCCAAATTATAAAATCCTACTAATTATATACATTGATTTCAAATTACTTTATAAGTATTTTATGAAATTCAAAATTATTAACAAAAAAAAACTAATAATTAATATAATAGTAATCTAAAAGATATATAAGAAATGAGAAATTATGGAGATCAAATAGACTAATAAAGATTCTTATCTTATAGATATAATAATTAAATCCAAGCTATATTAAGTTCTAAAAGATCTAATTAATAATAATATTATAAAGATTAAGATTATAGAATAGATTGAAAAAGATTAAAAGAATAAATAGTTATATAGACAAAAAAGGTATTAATTAAAAGAATATAATCCTACAATTTTAGAGAATTACTAATATTGGGATAGGGATTATATAATTATATTAACATTAATACTAATGTCTTCCGATACTATAGCAATACATTTCATAGTTCTAGCTTTTAGAACCTTAAGTAATATAACAATAATATGAACCATAATACTATATTGACTTCACCATCCCCATGGTGATACCAACACAATCTTAAAGTTTTTATATTAAAAGATTAATATTTTGAATATGATTTAATAATAAATCTATTTCTAAATAAGTATATTTATATATAAATTTTAAATTAAAGAATTGATATTTTATTTTAATATAGATATTAATTATATTAGAAAATATAATATAATATAATATAATATCTTATATAAAACTTTTAAAATCTGTTTCTTAATATAAAATATATAAAAGAATATCTATTAAATCTTTTTTATACTTTTAATAGATTTCTATTTTAAATTCAAAGTAAATAGTTATATTGTAAAGAAGCGACGCTCCTAGAGTACGTGATATAATCGTAACTATATTAGTTCAGAAATTCTTTAAATTTCTTTAATCTTATAGAATTCTATATATTATTACTTGAGCCCTAGTTTCATAACTACTAATAATATCACTCCTTAATATTGAATTCTATCTTATAAAGAACTAAGTCTTTCAAGTAATAAAAGAAAATCTATTATATTCGAAAACTAAAACAAACTCTTCTTAATATCGAAAAGATATTAAAATCATATAGTCGAATAACTTTTAAATACTGTATATAATTAACAAACCTCAAAAATAAACAGAATATAGAAACATATCAAACAAAAATATTTTTATATTAATCGAATTAGATTCTATATTATTTGAGATTAAATTAATAGAATTATTATATATGAAATGTTTGTTGATTGTTTTATTAATAATATTATTTGTAAAGTTATTAATATTTTTGTTTAATGCATAGACTATATTGGTGCCGGAAATCAGCAGTCTGGCGGATAGCATGCTCTAACAGACCGTGAAATTCAATCCTCTATTGTTCAAAGACTATAAAGAGAGTGATTCCAACGAATATATTGTAACGCTTAGACATCCACAAGCTAGTTTTTCTTCAAATAGAGTGGTAATGCAGTGATTCAAGCTAGATATGCTTGAAAGTCTATATTTGTTCTTCGTGACTTGATACCATCATTAGAGAGAGATAAAAAGGTCTCGAAGCATAGACTATAAGTCGGGTACCCTACTTTCAAGCCACTCCCCTTTTGGGCCACTTTTTACACCAAAAATGGAATTTTTAACTTTCTTATTTATGAATAGAATTTATTGAAAATTTATGTATATATAATTTAAATCATTTTTAGCTTACCTTAAAAATTTCAGATTTTTAGGAATTTTCTATATTGAGATCTAGAACTTTAAAATATCGATTTTTAAATTTTTATAAGAATCACATATAAATTTGAAATTTTTATAAAATCTTTAATAACATTTTAATAAAAATTATTAAAAATAAACTATAAAATTTATAACATATTTATTTTGAAAGATTTAGAAAAAAAAGAAAATTTCTTATAAATAGATATTTAAAAGAATACCCTCAAAATTACAAGGATTATTTATACTATTTTAAACTTACTATATACTATATCTCTATATCTATTATTTTTTTTATATTTTATTTTTATTTTTCATATAAATTTAAATTCAAAACTTTCAAAAAGATATATAGTTTTCTTTTAATAATTGTTATTAAAAAGTTATTAAAGATTTTATAAAAGTTTCAAATTTGTATGTATTCCTATATAAATTTAAAAATCGATATGTTAAAGCTTTAGATTTTAATACAGAAAATTCCTAAAATTTTCAAATTTTCAAAATAAGCTTAAAATGACTTAAATTATATATATTCAAGTTTTTATTAAATTAGATTATATATTGATAAAGATATTAATAGGCTAAAAAAGCGATTTTTGATATAAAAGGGTGGCCCAAAACAGAGGTGGCCCGAAAATAGGGTGGTCGACTTAACACAGAAAATTTGACTGAGATCAAAATAACATACAATAATTGAAACCCAAGCATGCAAGCTGGCCATATATCATACTTTTCATCAGGATACACCGAAGATCATTTGTTACTACGAAACAAATCCCCAAAAGACAAGCTGAGCGACGCTAGAGCGGAGCGCACCTGCAGAACAGGAGAGTACGAGCTATCAAAGACATTGGGTTTGGATGTATTATATCTCATTCATTCATTGCCAGACTATAAGTAGCTAAGACTCCATCAGTGTGAAATATTCTATTTGGACTTCTCTCGTTTTTTAAGCTAGTAAAATAGTCAGAGACCTCCCCTAGGTCTTAGATTCGTATACACTCTTCTAATGCTTCCTCTACCAGATTTGCATCACTTTGAATGGGAGTTCTCAATTCCTTGAATATCCAAGTCCTTCCAAATCAAAGGTGTTTAAATCTTCGTTCCGTTTCATTTTGGACCCCGTTATCTAAAGACACGAAATCAAGTTATAGATTTAGATATACCACTAAACAATTATTCAACAATACCCATTCAAATCTCCTGTCTAGAAACACACTAAGCCATTGAGTCGTCAAAAATCCTTTGTTGAGTGCACCATCTTTACATCACTCAAAGGTTCTCATGGGTGGTAGATCACCCAATCTTCAAACAACCTTGACAGAAATTATCTCTTCCAATACATGTTCATAACAAGAGTGTCCACTCTAGAGCCTTGATGACACCTATCTAGCACTGTTCTTGTAAAATCACAAAAAGGTATTCCACCCATGAGTTTAGCTGTTTTCAATTGGAAGGCATGGCCTAACTATATACCACAAAGAGGTATTCTACTCACAATACCAGATGAGACTTGTCAAAAGTACTTTTTTGAAAGATATACCAGATCTCATGTATTGCATTGATAGGATTATATGACTAAAACCGACCAATCTCTTCTCAATTTGCTATAAACCATCTCAATAAATAGATACCACCAATGAAAACTCACGAAGATCCTCCAATGCCCAATCAATCCATCAAACACCTACATGATCCATATTTCTCCCTCTACAATAGTTAATTGCACTCTCCACCATATTCCTGTCGTCCAATCAACCATAACCAACCAAAACGAACCGCAAGCTCAACTACTTAAAAACACTAAGCCAACAACAAGCTGAGGAGTATCCCTATTGATGTAAATCCCTGTGAACCAACTCCCAAACCATTTTCACAACTTCCGATTCACGTGATCCTTTTCCATAGCAAGAGTATTTAACCAAACAGATATGAGCAAGCTTTGGTAGAGGAGTATCCGCTTTCATAGCTTCTTGGATGATGAATCCAGCCAGCAGATCGACTGGGATCGGCAAGACTTGCATGCCTATTGTAGGATCGTACGACAAATACTCCGTTGTATATTCACACCAAGATTTACAGATAGCGTTGGTAGCAGGTATTCTGACCGAGATTGGTTGAGCAGATAATGCTTTTGTAGATGCTGGTGGGCTCAGAGAGGTAGATGGTAAGATCGCGTCGGTGGGATCTATGGCATAGGCAGGGGCTCCGCCGTTTGCGCCGACAACGTCTGAGGTACCAGGGGGATAGTTAACTTCGCTGGAGGGCCCGACAGCCGAAATAGCATGTTCATCGATTATGGGCAATTGAGGTTGAATAGTATTTGATACCTGTCTTTGAGGAACTTCAAACCGTTAGTTATTGAGACTCCCAAGATCACATAGGCAGCAAATAAATGACTAATTTACCAGGAAAGCCTTGCTTAGGACGAAAGGTAAGAGCAAAATGATCCATCTTTACTCTGTTAAGCCTGTGAACTGTATTTGACCTAGGTAAAGCGTGTCAAGGGGATGCAACCTAGCCGCAAATCTCCTTGATTCCGGCTGTGAGAGTGAGGACCAAAAGAAGGATTAACAAGCTAGTATTGAGTCAATTATTTCTGGTCGGGATCAATGATTGTAGAGTAAATTTCAACGTCGCTAAATTGTATATCTATCGAAGTAGATGAATATACGTCACGTGACTTCTGGATTCAATAATATATACAGCCTTGTCAAATACCTACTTGACCGAGAGATCGGTGAATATCTTCCAGTACCTGGGGAGACTTCCGCATCCAAATTCTTCTATTTGCTAATGTCAACGAACATCGGTATACGCATGACTTTTACGATATAACCTCCCTAAATAGACGACAATGCGATTTGTAATGCCTTCACAGAGTTTGTGGGACCTTTCGGGAGACGTTTTCATTATTAAAGCCAAGAAAACTATTGCTCCAGCGAACGTGGATCATGTTCCTGCATGATAATATGCTAATTGCCAATAACATCTTATTGGTGCGGTCGAACCAATCCTCATAAAGAGCGTGGCAATATCCCAGTATCAACAAGTCGCTCGACGTGGACTAAATTTGTACAGCTGCGGACGTGTACGTGCGAAATCAACCGAGTGAGGGGTTGCATTCAGGAAATATCTGAAACTTTGCTGAAGGTTGCTTTGCATATAAATTCGAGCCATCCTCTCAGTCAAGAAAAGTTGATCTTCAGAGTTGCGATTCTTGTGCTTGAAAATATGGCTTGTCGAGGCAAATTTGACAACATGGCTCCTGTATTTTCTTCCAAAAGAGAAAAAAGAAAGGAACAATTCAATAACATGATGGCGAAAAGGTTTGGATCAAATGGCAGAGATGTGGCGGCCGAGCTGCGCACTATTGGTGAGTTCCCGAACGTCGAATGCCCTTTCATCATGCTTTATCGCTGACCTTTACTATAGCGGACGCCTTGGAAGAAACTCTCGAGTTCCAGCGTTTGATGGGCAAAAGACAGAGAACTGAAGATCCAGAGGGTATGGAGTTTGATTGTTACAGAGCGCTTGGAGACTTCAAACCAACGCAAGAGCAGATCGACCCCTTTCGCAACTAGCGGATCTAGAATCAAAGGGCGACAAAGTAAATGGCGTGCTTGACGACCACACAACCCGACTACCAACGCCATCTCAAGAGAGGTCTATGTCTAGAGATTCCCTACGTCGTACCAATCGGTCGGCAAACCTCAACGGAACGCATGATGGGCAATCCGATCCTAGATCATATGGAAGAAGTGCTGCGGAACTTCTACCACTGAATAGACATTTTTCCGAAAGCGACGTTCCTCATGAAATTGTGCGCCCAAGCTCCGCGCAACCAGGTCGCTCAATGACGCCGCAACCCGCTAGGGCAGCAACTTTTTCCTCTATTAGATCAATGTCCCCACAGCCAGCCCCAACGAGTATACATTTCCCCTATCGTTCAGAAATTCGGCAACATAGTCAGCCACCGTATGCTCGTTATCCAGGCTATACATCTATCGTCGCTCGAGGTGGTCAAGATCGGCATCGCAGTCGACCACCACCCCCTCAGCGCTTGTACGAAGTACCTGATCCCCCGCAAACATACAGTTTTGATGTTCCTCCGCAACTTGACCCGAATCCATATTACCGACCCCAAATTACGTCCCCTGCTGAACGTGCTTCCCGAAGGGACCGTTTTGCTCGAATGTCCGAAGAACGTAGGGGAAGAAGAATGGAGCCTACTATAAGGTCAAAGCAGCACGAGACGATTTATCAGGTTGATTCGAATATTATTGAGCGAGAGTATGATCCCGAGAAAGACGAAGATGCTGAATCTATCGGATCCTTGGATCATGTCCAGTCGTTCGCATCACCTCAAACAATCAAACCTCAGAACAAAGTGACTTGGAATGGGTCATTCAGATGACAGGGACCAGATGTTTGCATGAAGACTCCTTCAAAAGCCACTCGTTGAAACTTCATTATAAACTCTACACTGGTTGGGCAGTGAAGCACCTACACTTTGTTCTGGATGCCGTTGTCTTTCTCTCCACAAGCGCATTTCACTTGCTTTCCCTATTTGTGGCAACCAAGCCCTATCCACGGCTTATAGCAAAGAATGTTACTCTCATATATCATCAAGACCACGCCAATTCTATTGACTTTCTATCCATGATTGCAGGAGAGCAAAATCAAAAATCAAATGTTCAAACCTGGGGAAAAGTGTAGGTTTAGCCACCTGTTCTATTATTGAAGCCTTTCAAAGCATGATAAACAGAGCTGATGGGTGGATCAAGTGTCTTTGGGTTGTCATTGTACAAATAGGAATGTGTAGATTTCCTGTAGTCCAGAGTAAAGCAGTTGTTGTTGAGATTGGTTCTGAAAGCATCTTCGGGCCGACAATCATCCGAAAGTCCGTGCAGGAGAGTGTTCTTGGCCATTATTTCTTAGAGAAGTAGGTAGTTCCTTTAGGGAGCTCATTAGATTATACCATACAATGTAGCAGGTTTCCTTATCTTCGGAATATCTTTGGAATGTGTGTAGTTTCTCAGACATCAAATTATTAGTGAAATCTATTTATAGAATCTTGTAATGCAGTCCCTCAAGAAGATCGTCAAATTCTACACATAGCCGGATTCAGCGATGTAAGTCATGTAAGTCATATAAGTATTTGTAATGTGACATGGAGTTGAATATCTAATCCTGATAAATCGATCGTCAGTAGAGATTTCTTCACTGTTTTTGGGTAGTATGTCTTGAACATTCATGTACACGTCAGGAAAGAGCCAAGAGATATGGTGGGTAACACAACTTCGTTTGATGATCGCTACTTACACTGAATGTCACGCTGAAAGAGCCCGCTGGACGTTTCTAATTCAGAAATCTTGGATATTAGATAAACCTACTAGTTTCATGATTCATTCTGACCAATCCCATATGTTTGGATAGATCAGGCCATTCCACGTAGTCCATACTTCGAGTGAGCTGTGTGTGTCAGAATCTTTCAACCCTCCTATGATCCCATCCTGATGTCTTGGATATAAAATACCAGCCCAAGGATTCGTCATGAGGTAGGCAAACAGATGAAACATTGGATAGTATACTCAGGAGTGTGAAAAGACATGCCTTTCCGAGCTTCCTTGTTTCCGACTGAGGAATAGTCAGGCGCAGGATTGAACTTTCGGATCTAGAGCCCAGGTTATGAAGCCCCTCAAAATTTTAATGATAACTCTTGGAAGACGTTAAAGAACGAAGTGACAACGAAGAATTAACCCAAAGTTGGAAAAGAGTGACACCACCTACCTACGACGGTTCATACTCACCAGGAATAAAAGTGGAAGTGTAATGTGAGGGGACGATCATTCATAATTTCTATTCGGAAAATCAAATAGTCGGCTTCGTAAAATATGCCCCCAGTTCCCTGAGACCCTTCATCGGAATATGCAATGCCCTCGGGATGACTGATTTCGCCTTACTCCCCAACAATTCATGGTATCATTTTCCGCCATACTGTAGTTTCATTTGTCCAGTCTCTTAAGCAGTGAAATCATTTGGCCAGCACTTTTCCTTGGTCCATCCCTTATCTTCGTGCTTTGCAGCATGGCTTATTAATTGTGCCTTATTTGTGTTGACCAACTCCATCTTGCAGAACTCGCACTATTGGTGGAGTTAGCCTCAAACAGAGAATGATAGGTATGGATTCTGAGGAAAGAATGCCACAAAATATAACTAATCAGAGACGTACTTTTGACTTTGGTGCGGCTGGTTTGACTGGAAGACCGTTTGCCTTGACCGGGGCGCGGGTGCCCTCCTTATCGGCCTTCTTGTGCTCGCGAGCGATCTGTATGCAAAATTAATAAATGCTCTTTAAGAGTTGCCAATGGTCAAGATATACGCACCCTGTCTTTCTTGGAAATAGGCATAGTGAATGGTAGACTTGTGGATATGAAGATAGAAAGGTGATGAGTGAGATTGAATGTAAATTTGAACTTTGCGAAAAAGAAAGATTAATCTATCGTTGAAAACGCTAGCCCAAAAATTAATGCCGGTAAAACAGCCACACCGCTCGGAAGTTATTTTCCCCGATGTTACTTTCGATTTCCTCCTCCAGCTTTGAAACCTTTATACTTAGTCAGCAGTCGTTTCCTCTGGGGAATCTACTCGAGTTCTCTTGTGTTTTGATGTTTATGTTTAGAAACGTGCAAGACACGATCAGCTGTAAAATTGGAAGTCTCCAGAGAAGATTACAACTCATACAATCAATCGTTTCAATAAGAAGCGGCCCGCCCTTGTCCAAATTAGGATGCTCAACTTCCAGGCTGTAGGTCAATCGAATGTCCCGCGATGTGAACTTGTTATCAAAGTCGCCCTCGAGCTCTTACGCTACCTCTTTACACTCTTTCCCTTTTGTGGCTCTGGAAACAGTTTTCGAATCCAGTGGATTTAGAACAGCACGAACTAGATAACTGTCGCTTGGCAATTTAGAGTGTGGACTGGATTAGGAGACATATTTTGCACTTTTTCCGGTGCTCATTACCGGTCATTGTCCACAAAGTCGATATTCGTTACATTCCTATTCGCAATGATTATATCCAGGGGGTTATGGAGGGAGAAGCGATTGAACTGACGAATGATGATTCACTTCGGGGAAGAATATTCCCTCTACACTGGTCTCGAAGGCGAATAGAAGCTTCGGTTGTCATCTCTCCCACTCGAATCAATTAGCAATTCATGCCAAAGAGATGAAGCATGACAGCCACCATAGCTTGTGTCCATTGTCCTTCGGGCATTCATATGTCCCGCTCTTGCTGCTTTGAATTTCACCACATTCTTTGCATCTTACACAACTTTCCATTCTCATCATCCAACGTATCAATCGTTCTAGCATCTCATCCTGCCTCCCCTGTCTCCTTCTTCGCCCATGATGCCGTCTCCAAGTCAACCTATCTTGAACCAATTTCTCGCTCATAACTTATTTGCTCCATAAGACATCCCCTCAAAATATACATCTTCGCTATCAGAATTTTTAAAGACAAGAACCAGTAGTAGGTATTACAGCTTTAGAAGCTGCATGACTCTCAGTTTGCGCTGCACATTAGGTGAGGATTCCAGTATTCTTGGCGTCCTCCCCGTGCTCTAGGGGCCCTGCAAACTGTGTGCCTAATGAACCAATGGAACGGAAATCAATTCACATACTATGCATCCGGAGTTTTCTAAGCAAGTAGTATTGCTGAGTTTGAAACAACGATGTTATGTACCATATATCTAAATTTAGCCAAATGGGCCGCGATAGTATCGCTAAAAGTACACATGACGTAATAACTTTCTCGACAAGGGGCAGACACAAAAAGCACCAAAACTTCAAACCAGTGGCAGCAATGTGTTAGATAAACATCTTTTCAGGATATCAATACATATAAAAACCGAATATAAAGAATTGAAACAACCAGAATTTCCACTTGCTGACTCCCGATCCAAACTCCTCTCGTGCCTCCCCCTCCTCCCTTCTCTCCGTTAACCTCCTACCCCATGCTCCAATCTCAGCCCACTCAAATCTTAAAAGGCTCCACCTTCTGCACCCCCGAATAAACAATCTTACTCGTCATCGCCGGCACCGCTGCCTTGGTACTAGAAGCCTTGACCGAAGTCGCCAGTGTACTCGACGCTTTAACACTTGAACTTGTAAGCTTATCACTCGTTACAATCGAAGTATGAGCGCTCGACGTCACACCTATGGCTTTACTCGAAGAAGTCACCGAAGCAGGATGGGTAGAAGATCCAATAGCGGATGTAGATGTAGATGTAGAAATAAGTTTCACACCACTACTGCTCGAAGATTTGACCTCAGTGGGTCCTGCTGCAACGACTGAGGTACTGGTACCTCCATTAGTTGCTTTAATACTCGATGTAGCACTCGTAGTAGCTTTGGAGAGAGATCCATTTCCACTTCCACTCGCGTTAACGGTAGTATAGATTCTTGTCGTGCTCGACTCGACAACCGTCGTAACCGAGCCCGAAGCCGATGGTTTCGCAGAAGTAGTTCTCGTCTTTGAACTCACACCACCTGTGCCCGAAAGATGGAAACTTCCAGCAGCAATAGAATGAGTACCATTTTTTCCCGTCCCGAATGCTCCGGTTCCTGATGGTGCTTTTCCGGGACCAGGTGCGGAACCAGATGGGTGGACTTTACTGGTGATTGTTCCACTTGTCTTCATACTTTCTTTTGTGCTAGTTCCTCCATGGGAGATAATTGGCGCACTTGTTACTCCTGTTTTGATGCCTGTAGGGGTTGTGGTTGCGATGGCCGCTTTGGTGCTTGAGGATAGAGGAATAGTGGTAATAACGCTTCCTGGACCAGTAAAAGTGGTACTCTCTGTACAAGTAGTATCGATGCTGGACGAAATACTTGCTGTTACGACAGCGATAACGGTAGATGGAAGATGAGTGACAGTTGAAACATGTACACTTGTAATCTCACTAATTGCTGTAGCGGGATATCCTGGAATACCAACACCGCCAGTGACGGTTTCTAGGACTGTGGCAAGGACAGTCTTTGTGTGAGCGTATTCTTGTCTTTTGTCGTTGTTTTTAATCTTATGCTGTCAGTAATGAGATTCATATTCGGCTACCATCAGAAAAAGAACCTACCGAGTCTGGAGAGACAGATCCAGGGTCTAATTGATCAGCAGGAGGAATAGTCTTTCTCTTCTCCACAGTTGTAATAGCATCCGGAGCCATCGAACCAGGATCTAACTGATCTACAGGAGGAATAGTCTTTCTCTCCTCTAATTCCCCTACGTCTCTAGGAGTACCCGGAATAAGTTTCTCCAATTCTCTCTTCGAATGGCCAGGTGAAACAGGAACGAGCTTCTCTAGATTCCTTGGCGTAATCGGTACGATAGGAACGAGTCTCTCCAAATCCCTCCCCACAATCGGAACAAGTTTCTCCAAATCCCTCCCCCCAACCGGCACTAAAACCTCCACCTCCACCTCCACCTCTCCATCCGATCTCTTCTCCCGATCCCCCATCCACGAAGCCAGAGCTTCCACATCCCTCCTAAACTGCGTAATCGGAATCAAAGTCTCCAATTCTCCTCCTGCTCTCTTGTCCATCAAAGTAAGCGGAACAAGTTGTTCTACATTTGCCCCCGTATTGACTGGGAGTGCTGAGATCTAGGAGTGTGGGTATTAGATTCCTTTCGAAGAAAAATTGAACCTTTAATATCAGAGAAAAGGAAGAGAAAGGTTATCTTACCAAGCTTGGTAAAGCAATCAGCAATAATGCAGCTGCTTCTCCAAAGGTAAGACGCATATTGAAGTAGTGAATCGAATCCTGAAAACCTAGGTGTTTCCGCAGAACGGAATGAGAGGTGAAGAGGTTTGAATAAATATACTTGTAGAAATCTTATATATCTCTCAAACCCTCAAAAAAACAAGAATAGATGATTTTCCCCGAAAAGAATGTACGAAGAAACGATAAATGAATGAATGAATGTATACCACGACTTTCACTCCAGTAAAGAATGACAAATTGCTTTTGCAACGCAACGGAATGGGGAAAAAAGGACAAAAAACTTTAAAAATCACCACAAAAATCAATAACGAAGAATTCTCAAGAAAAATCGAAAAGTAAAAAAGTGGATCGAAGAAATGAAAGATATGATATACATATCGTACCTCAATGCCTACCTACCTTCCATCCCATCCGTCAGCACCAGTGTAACCTCACCATAGGATCAGAAATCATAATTTCCTGAACATTGAACAAACAGGGGTTTTCTCCTTCCTATAATATATCACATTCTATTATGGTATCGTATCGCATCCTATAAGTCAAATAGTCATTCATCCCTCCAGTGCAGCATACCAGATCAATTTCCCTTCGTTTCCTCCGGAAATCCTTATTTTTCCCTTTTCATTTCCATTTCCGTTTCCTCAGCGATGATGAGATGATTTGATACAGTCCCTGATAGGTATTGACCTATTCTTAGCTGCTAATGCCTGTCATGCTCTCACTTGACCTCTCCGCCACCATTTATCCATTCCCGTACCACCTCGCACGACATCACCTTTTTCATCACCATCTCCATCTCCATACCCATCCCCATCAACCACATACCACACATCCGGTAATCCCCTTCTCCATCTCACACCCCCTCTCTTAATTCCACCATACCATACCAAACATCAAAACCCTATCCCCTCAAACCCTCATCTCAACCCTCACTTCAACCCTCCTCCCCATCCACCTCTCCCCCAACATCCTTACCTCCACCCCCCCTCAAAACCAACCCCCCATCCCCAAAGAAAGCCTCAGGAATCTCCAAGCACCGCACGAAATCCCACCACCACCTACCTTCATTCCCACCCCATCTCAACTCTTCCTCTTCCATTTCCACTTCCCATCAAACAATCACAATCCTCCTCTCGAAACCTCATCTTCCCTTCGATGATGAAAATCCAGCTCCCTTCAAATCAGGGGTACTATTCGTGGCAGTGCACATCCTATCCTATCCTATCCTACCTACCTACCTATAAATAGCATTTCCACCACCTTACATACCACCTCAGCACACACCCGAACGATCAAGTACCTCATCATTCCTAATGTACAAAAACTACACTCTAATATCACATCTTTAGTAATAAAAAAAACGACTTCCAGATATATGTGTTTATTCCAAAGTTTATACATACCTACTAAACAATTGAACACTCCGTCAATCCATTCAATGGATCAAAGCTCCGATAATTAGAGCTTACGAACTTTCTCACTCATCCCTGAAAGAAGGATCATTACTTACATTACTGATTACCCTGATGCTTATGCTTGAAATTTGATATCAAAAGGAGGATACGAATAATGACGTCTACTGAAACGTGGGAGCTAATAATAAATCGTGATGTGATTTAAATTAGATATCATATATATATGTGTGTGTAGATTCTGCGTATCTTCAGACGCCATTATAATAACCGCAAAGCCCATCGGCCTTTATCCAACTACTTTTCTGTTATCTTACTATGCAACTCTATCATGATATTCTATCCTTGGCTCATGCAAACTGAATACGAAAAATCCACCGAAAAGAACCGCTCAAGTATGCGCAATTGTACTGTATCCCAGTCCGAATGCCAAAACGCGCATCCGTCGCTACGTGTGCTGTCAACCATCTTGACCCCCAACGCCAACACACAAGACCACCCTTTACAAAAGAAAATCGTGTATCTAACCACGAGTTATCTCATGAGTGACTCAAAGTATGTACCAATAAATGTCTGTTATACAATATGTACTTAAAACAAGAAGAAGAATAAATTAAACACCAACAACTTGTTCGTCATTGCGAACATCTACACTATCCATAATATCTGGTGAGCTTGCTCGTTTCGGAGTTTGGGATTCAAGAGAGACTATTGCATATCAGCAACCTTGTATATAGAATTAAGCAGGGATGAACATACCATTAGGTCGAATAAACCAACTGAAAGTAAAAGCCAACACAAAGCACGCCGTCAAAACCAGAAAGACTGTCTGTGTATAGGTGCCAACAGTTTGAGCATAAATTAGATTGAAAATCGTAGGGCAAACAACTCTCGCTAACGCGTGTAACAAACCCGTAGCCCCTAGTAGTTGTCCTATTTGATCGTGGGGTACGTGCTTTGTTAATGCCGATTGTAATGTTGGGGAACCTACACCACCCATCGAAGCTAGAATTCCAGAAACCACAAAAAGCGGACCACTACGAGCTACTGTGAATCCTAAATATCCAATTATTTCACAGGCAATCGAAAGTCGAATAACAATGAGATCTGTTGAATCGGCGCCAGAGTGATTTTCTGGTATGACAAGCCCGGATTCTCTGCGCTGTCTTCTACGAGGTATAGTTCGAACGAGGTAATTGAAAATAGGGAGGATAACGACAAGCGTAAAGACTCGAGTACTATTGACCACTGACATGTATAGACTTGTTTCGGCAGTCTTCCAACCAAATTGAAAGCCCGAGTAGTAAATGATAACAGTCATGACCCCCATGGCAACGCCGAAGATAATAGTATCGACAGTTGCAAGCAGAACAAGATTCGCGCGAACGTGTTTAGTGTTTCCGCTGCCAGTGGGCCACAAAACATTGAGTGTTGCAAGAGGATTTTTGCTCCTCAGCGTTCCCAACCAAGTTTGATTGGCTGTAAGGAGACCTTCAACAGCATGTTTTTCACGTGCAACTTCTTGCCGTTTTTGAGTCAGGGACTCGGGTACTACCAAGAGCAAGAAAAGAATGAAGAAAGTATGTATGCCGAGAGCGACATAAAATACCGTGAGTAGGCTATCGGTTAAGCGAAGTAATGCTGCAGCAAGCAGAGGACCAAAGGCGATTCCAGAAAACAAACAGGCGTGGAAATAGGCAAAAGCCACTGCTCTTTTAGGAGGAGCGGTACAGTCTGCCGCATATGCATGAGTGAGTGCCATTCCCGCAATGAAAGAACCACAGAGACCATCGAACACGGCACCGGCAAGCAGCCACTTGTATGAAATAATATCTGGATATTTTCCAGCAAGAATGGTAACAATTTCTGTCAAGAAACTACCAAAACTTGAAATTACCAGAATCTTCTTTCTACCATGCCGATCAGACCAAGCCCCGAGTACTGGGGACATCATGGCGCTGATAATACCAGTAATGACCGTGATAGCTAACATGAACTTGGTGACCAGCGATTGTACTTCAGGAATCCTACATTGCGGATTATCGGATCCAAGTAACACAGGTGCGAAAAGGAAGTTTGGATCTTGAGAAGATCTCTCTGCGAGATACGATCGACATACGAGGGCGAGGATAAGATTGAGTTTCGGTACGATAATTCCACCAACTGCGAGAGCTAGTAGGAAGAATGGAAATAAGAGCCAGTATACCTGAGAACAAACATAATTAGTATACCAGGTTATTGAGCCAAGAGAAATTGTACACAACATACAGAAGGTTTATGCCACCAGGTTAACCCCGCAAAATCTCCATGCCCCTCCCATGATGTCTCCTCACTACCTCCACTACTTTGCCCCTCATGTGCCCTCTCATTGCCCAGTAATGGAGCTGTCTCAGACTCCGGAGTCAAAATCGATTTGCGAACTCTCGTGTGCCTCCTCAAAGCAGTCATCGCACCCCAGATGGTCATTGGCTCCTCTGGCCGTTGGTCTGCATGTTCATTCTCCATTCTCATCGTCATCTTGTCGTTGTATTGCCACTTGGTATAAGTTCGATTGTGGCATTGGGTTACAATGACGTCGGTACAACCAAGTAGAATATTTGTTGACAGAGATTTCTCGTGCCAGTAATGTAGATACTGGCAGAGACTGAAGGAGATTCTATGTTATATGTCAAAAGGAAGAATTGACTAGAAATGGGAGTGAAGCAAATCCAAGCTTATCACCCACCCAATCCAGCTTGCCCAGCTTGCCCAGCTTGCCCAAGATAGGAAGATGGTTAAGCAGAAAAGTGGGCGGCCTGAGTCTGTTTGTGCGGGTTGGGTGATGGGTAGACTGGACTGGCTCGACTGGTAGAGTAAATAATCCGCGATAACTTCTTTTTAAGGTTCTTCGCACGCTCATCAATCAAACAGTGATTCTCAAGGTCTCGAACTCTGTTCCTTGGTTAATAAAAGAATGAAGTTCGAGAAGAAAGGAAGCCGATGCGACCTATCTATACCTATTACCCACACCCACACCCACACCCAAAATATGACAAGGTAATTATTAGATCAAACATGACGACACCATCTGATATATCAGCAATATATAACTATTCAATTCAAAAACATAGCAAAAAGACGGTTTCCAACATAACATAACATACCAGTAGGTACCTATCAAAACCCCAGCAAATTGATCATTCGAATACCAACCATATCCTATCTATTCTATTACATTACATTACATTACATTACATCACATTTCATATTCACCAGGTAATCTTACTACAATCCATTGTTTCAAAGAAGGGAAGGAATGCAATTAAAGGAGATTTCTTGATTGATAATCGTGGTTCCCACTGTCCGATTGGTTCAAGACATCCAAAATGTTTATTCGGCATCGGATTCGATACTCCGTGTGTGTGTGTGTGTGTGTGTACGGAATGCTCTGTGGTTGGAAATCTTGATTCGATGACTTCATCACTATCTAGATAACTACAATGTCGGGTACGTAGGTCTGCTCCAAGCCACATTCAATAGGCATTTATCATCTACCAATACCAACACAGGTGCTGCATCCATTGTGCACATCGCACATATCGTGCACAGATAACCAGGTGTTGTAAACCATACAATAATCTACGGGCATATATCACTTCGGGCGGGCGACTGAAGAAGATAGAAGATATATTCATACATTGCTGAAGCAATATTGGAAAAATCAATAGGTTGATCGTTTGTCTTATTAGATTTTGAAAGCTACCTAGTGATCTATCAATCTTCTATTTATACTCTTTTCTGTTTCAATTTCACACCAACTAGTTCCTCTTCATCGCCCAATACCTTGTCTAGATGGTGACGTCTGAGGAACTACTCCGTACGGAGTAAAGTCGTCGCTAAAGAGTCCCACATCATGTAGCGACCCGCCAGAGAGTGTATCAGTTAGGTTAGTGACCAAAATCGGCATGATGTTGTCCCTGATACCGACGCGGACTTCTGAACATATGCATTCCGCTCAAATTCGCTTCATAATTGGCTATACACGGATTGACTGATCTATTATAATACATGTTCATAACCATTATTCCCCCTTTCCTTATACAGCTAATGCATTCTCGGGTCCAGCAAAGAATTTCTTAGTTTCGGCGCACTTCTCACTTTTACATCCAGGACATCTTAGCCCCATTTGAACACTACAAGTCACCCCGCTATCCATGTGAGCTTTAGCAATATCGGCTAGTGCTTGGATGAATACTGGAGAACCATTCAAACTTTCGGATCTCTTGATAGTATCTTTGTGACCTGACTCTCCAATGACTTCTTCGTCCAATTCATAAAGTGTTTCGATATGGTCGGATGTGAATGCGACAGGAATAAGTATGAGATTCGTTTGACCTTTCTTAACATACTCCTCCACGGTATCACTTGTTTGAGCTCCTAACCATGCACTAGGTCCAACCTGTGATTGCCAGCAGAGTCGATATGCATGAGAGTGACCTAATCTTTGCATCACGGCGTAGACTGTAGCGGCGACCTCGGCTGGATATGGATCACCTAAAAGAGTTAGCGACACAATCTTTCCACAACTTCGACAGACGTACCTCTATTAACCACCGACATTGGCAAGCTATGGGCTGAGAACAATAACACAACGTCTTTTCTATCCTTCTCGGGGTATGTCGCCAAAGTAGCTTCGATGTTTTGTGCAATGGCTTCAACAAGACCTGGGTGAGCTGGCCATCTATCAATTACACTCCAGTCGATTGTTCCATCGCTACCATTTGGACTTCCTGCTGCTTTTCCCTCCAGCCTTTGTCTCCATTTCCACAACTCGTTCAAACTACTTCCGGTAGTCGAACAACTATATTGAGGGTATTGTGTGAATGCCACGGCTCTTCCACCTTTTCCGCCACCAAACCCATCTGCCAATAACTTGTTGTACATTTCTTCAGTGAGTGGGTTTGCATATCTGAATGCTACGTAAGGTTTGTGCGGAGCTGTTTCAGGCGACATCTTATCCAACAACTTGCACATCTCTTCGGCTTGATATTCTGACCATTTTCGAATTGGGGAACCGCCACCAATGGCAGCGTATTGCTTTTGAATCTTTGGCGTACGACGTTTCGAAATAAGAGGGCCAACATAGTTTTGGAAGCGTCCAAGAGGAATCAAATCGGCATCTGCCTGTACGGTCATTTGTCAGAGGGGAGGATGGTGGCGGCGTTACAATTAACATACAAATAATCTACTCAAGAAATCCCCAACTTCATCTGTAGTCTGGGGGCCACCCATATTCATGAGCACCATTGCCGTTGGTCCCCTCCTTCCCGTCGCATCTTGTGTTACTGGTGGTACTGGAGTCGCAAAAGATCTGGACTGGTCTGCGCTATTCCTCTGCAATAATGATGTTGCCGCAGGAGAAGGGTTACTGGTGAGGCGAGAAATGGTAGCTTGGGAAGCTCGTTTTGTGAGCTGGCCTACAGCTTTTGGAGTTCTAAAAGACATCTTGAAGTATTCAGACAGAAGAAGAAGAAGACGGTTATCACTCAATGGATAAATTGAGCATCAAACTCGCAAAATTAATTCTGTGAGATTTTACTTTTTCTGAGCGGAGGTATATTATAATTTGTAAGGACAACTTTCCCTCTCATCCGATTGCTAGAATATGAACAAGGATTAACATGATGCTTGGATCGACGGAGCTCTCAAAATGCCGATGACTTTAAGCCAATCGATGTGGAGAGATTTGGAATAGATTTATCACGTGTCAGCGTACTCTAGCGTCTTTGAAAGCTGCTCCACCTTCGCGGTTCAACGCGTCTGCCTGATCATTTGAGCATTCTCATCCCCATCCCCAGTGCTATTACATGTCATCTCTCCATTACACATACCATCTTCCTTTACTGTAGCGAATTCCAATCAACCTTCATAGACTGTCGACATCCTGATGTGTTGAAAATCATTGATCTAGAGTCTATATCCTCATTTCATTCCGTTTACGTTCCGACAAGATAAACAAAAATGACAGATTCAGAGAAGTGGAAGCGCGAGGAAGACGAAGAGGAAGAAGAAGAGGAAGCCGATGAGATTGTGAGATTCTCCTTCCACCTTCCAGGTCCAATCGACTCTAATATCTACCATTAGGACTATCGCACACAAAAAGATGCAGTTCTTTTCGTCATTGATGTTAGCGAATCGATGCTTACCCCTCCTCCCCCTTCCGATTCAAAGAAAGCCGATACAGATAGTCCCACGCTTGCTGCTCTCAAGTGCGCACATATAATCATGCAACAGCGCATTATCTCCGGCCCGAAGGATATGATGGGCATCATGTTATATGGCACTGAAGAAACAAAGTTTAAAGACCAAAGTGGATTGGACACCTCGGTGTATCCTCACTGTTATCTTCTCACAGATCTTGATATACCATCTGCACAGGACGTCAAGTCATTAAAAGAGATCGTCGAAGATGAAGAGGAAGCGAATAAGATATTGATTCCAACGGAGGAAACTTTAGATATGAACAACTTGTTGTTCTGTGCTAATCAAATATTCACAACAAGGGCTCCAAATTTTGGATCAAGAAGATTGTTCATTATAACCGACAAAGATGATCCACATTCTGGGGATAAGTCTCAAAAGTCATTAGCTGCAGTTCGAGCTAAGGATCTTTACGATATTGGCGTTATCATTGAACTCTTCCCAATATCGACTCGTGACCATGAATTTGATCGCACCAAGTTCTATGATGTATGTTTATATCACCCCTTCTCCTTGACTCTTGTTATTTCCCGTTAACAGCAAAATAGGATATTATTTATCGTGATCCGCTTGCACAAGACCCACCCAATGTTGGTCCGAACAGTCTCAAATCTAACGGCGATGGATTGTCTCTACTAAATAATCTTATCCTGGACGTCAACTCGAAACAAGCAGCCAAAAGATCTCTATTCTCTAACCTACCATTCGAGATAGGACCCAATCTCACCATATCTGTGAATGGATATAACGTTCTTCACAAACAAACTCCAGCTAGACGTACATTCGTTTGGATGGGAGGAGAAGTTCCCGAAAAGCCAACATTGGAAACGACACAAATGGCTGAAGACACAGCTCGTGTTATTCAGAAGGTAGAAATCAAGAAGGCCTATCAATTTGGTGGCTCGCAAGTGCTTTTTACTCCGGATGAGCAAAAGCAACTCAAGGATTTCGGACACCCAGGACTTCGCATCATTGGTTTCAAGCCTCAATCCATGTTACCCTTTTGGGCATCTGTCCATAAAGCAACATTCATATATCCAAGTGAAGTCGATTATGTTGGCTCAACTCGGGTTTTCTCTGCTCTATGGGAAAAACTTCTCAAAGATAAGAAAATGGGATTGGGATGGTACATCGCTCGCAAAAATGACAATCCCGCCATCGTCGCCATCTTACCCTCAGCTGAAAAATTAGATCCTGCCACAAACCAACAAATTTTCCCCGCAGGTCTATGGCTCTACCCTATGCCTTTTGCCGATGACCTCAGAAGTGTCGCAGCGCCAGCTCCTATCATTGCACCTGATGAACTCATCGACAACATGCGCGTCGTTGTACAACAACTACAATTACCAAAAGCCCAATACGATCCCAGGAACTACCCAAATCCAAGTCTTCAATGGCATTATCGAATTCTCCAAGCTATGGCGCTAGAAGAAGATGTTCCTGAAACCCCAGAAGACAAAACGGTACCAAAGTATAGACAGATAGAGAAGAGATGTGGTGCATACATTAACGAATGGGGACAAACTTTAGCATCTGAATACGAGAAATGGTGCAGTGAGAAAGGAAACGCGTTGAAAAGAGATCGTGATGAGGGAATCGATGAGCCTGATGTACCGAAGAAGAAAAAGATAATGGTGAAAAGTTCGGCTAAAAAATTGGGAGAGATGGATAAAGAGGAGTTGAGCAATTTGGTGTCGAATGAAGGATTGGAAAAATTTAAAGTGGCGGATCTGAAGGATTGGCTGTTGGCGAAGGGTTTGAATGGTGCAGGGAAGAAAGCTGATCTCATGGAGAGGCTCGAGCAGTGGGTCGAGGATAATTAATCGCTTGGTGTGAAAGA